GCTGCCCGGGGGGGGGGGGGGGCCCGGCCTAAAGCCGTGTAAGGGGCCCCAACATTTCTGATGGCTGCCCTGCGGACAGGTAAGGAGTGTGACCAGCCCACCTGAGGGTGACCCTGCAGAGCCCACAATAGAGAGTCTAGCATCCTTGGTTGCTAGAACGCAGACTGCTCCTTCTACCTAACATGTTTAGTTGCTAGGACAAAGGCAGCTCCTGTCACCTGGCATGCATGGTTGTTAGGATGCAGGCAGCTCCTGTCACCTGGCATGCATGGTTGTTAGGATGCAGGCAGCTCCTGCCACCTGGCATGCTTGTTTGGCAGGATGCCGGCTGATCTTGCCACCTAGCATCCTTGGTAGCTAGAATACAGACTGCTCCTGCCACCTAGCATCCTTGGTTGTCTGGACGCAGATGGGCCCTGTCACCTAGCATCCTTGGTTGTCTGGACGCAGATGGGCCCTGTCACCTAGCATCCTTGGTTGCCAAGATGCAGGCTGATCCAGCCAACTAGCACATTGGTTGCTAGAATGCCGACTGCTCCTTCAGCCTAGCATGTTTGATTGCTAGGACACAGCGCCCTAGGACGTAGGTAGCCATTCCTGTTAACTCAGCAGTGTGTATTCCAGCCAATTACACGTTGGATATTTACATGCTGACCCTGAGCAGGCAAATAGAGCACATTTGAGCAGTACGTTGTACAGATGCAAACGTTAGCAAGCACATTAACCTGTGTACAGCATAAAATACGGTCCATACGCAGATTTTTCGGGCACAGATTTTTCTAATATTTTTTTCCGATCTGAACGCTGCGCAAGTCTACTGTGCATCCAGATGGATAAAAAAATTTGCAGTAATAGCGATGCCGTTTTTTTCTGCCATGTGCATTAACCCTAAAAAGCTAGGCAGCAATTTGTAAATATTTTTAGAAAATTCTGCTATGTAATTACAACATGTAACAATGTAACAAATATAAAGTATGCGTTATGCCAATTTGGCTGCTGATGGGGAAATACACTTTAAGTAACATGAGTGTAGATTTTCTTTGACAGTTTGCCGTTCCCCAGCCAGAAGAGTGTGTGTTGTCATGTGACTCCCGTAAGCTGTCACATGATACCGTTAGAAAACACTGCAGCTCAGCAGGTTTGCGTCTCCCGGTCCCCATGTGCTCTGTTAGGACATCAGTGCTGGAAACCCGGCTGCTTCTCAGATCCAGGATTTAGGACCCTGGAGACCCAGGCTGGATAGTCACATGATTGTCATTTTGTGTTTCAGGCCAATTAATGGAACAGAGAAGACAGAGGAAGGAGTATGAATTAATGGAGAGCAGGGCGCGAGAGCTGCAACGTGCACCCATGGGAGCTGCCATACTCTGCCTGTTGCTGGCCGGCTGTCTGTTTGAGCAGGTATGTACAATGTATTACAGGATTCTGCAAGCTGTGACTGTCACATGTCTATATCTGTTCAGTTCTTTTTTTGTGTCTGAAAACTGAACTTTGAGAAAACAGAAAGGTCCCAGGCATTGCTCTTGGCTCAAAATCAGCTGGGCAGTTGGCAGAGACCTTGAGGGCAATGTGCAACTGAATCCAATGAGATTTTCTGGATCTGGTTCTTCAGGGCAAAATCCAGAGACAAAACCTTGATGGTGATATCATAAACTTCAGTCCTTGATTCATGGGAAACAAAGTTTTTTTATTTTCTTCTTCAATTTCAGTGATAAATATTCAGTTTTGGTGTTTAAAGCAGAACTCCAGCCTGACCTTCAGTCTTGCACAGTTGTAGCGGCTTCTCTCCTGAACTGGAATTGCTTCCTCTGATTTGAATGGACACTGCAAGCTTCTCACAATGTGCATTAGAAGCTGCAGCAAGTCAGAGAGCGTCTGCCAGCATAATATATTGCTTTCCTTCGCAACCTTGGCCCACTGCTTGCATGCATTGGATTTCAGTCCTTTCAAGCAGGCTCAACATCACATGTGGGTGTTACCTAGCAGTGGCGTCACAAGGGGGGTGCGGCCCGCACCCGTGTGACACCATGCGCAGTGACGTCTCGGCGGGGTGACACACGGTTACCGCTCCGGGTGTCACCCAGCCTCGGGACGCCCCTGTTACCGAGTCATGGAAATGCAGCCTGCCTTGGAACGCCCACTCCTCCAAATTAACACCTGCCCATGAAATTATTTTGATATTTGCATAGCTGCATAACTTCTCCCAGGAGCCGGCCTGCTGCATGCATCATGGCTATTGAGAGGAGTATTAAGGCAGGGTGATGTGATGTTTTGGGGATGCTATGCATAACACCCTTCTGGTCCCTCCCACCAGCCATGACCTGCTTGCATTGCATAAAGAAGCACACAGACCCAGTGATGATGTCACCAGGTCTAAATAGGGGCAGACCTACCACCAGTGCAGCTGCACCAGGGCCCAAGGCTGGGGGGGTCTAGTGAGATCTGGTCCTGGGCACTCCCCATTGGTAGAATAGGGGCAGTGCAGGGTCCGAGGCGGTCTGATTGGCTTCTGAGCGGGGGAGTGGGGTCCGACGGATTCCTAGCAGCGTCCCTAATACCAGACAGTGGGAGAAGAGAGGGGAGAGCTGGGCGGGCAGTGCACAGGCACTGGGAGAACCAGTGGAGAGAAGGAGGAGATGCAATGTATTCAAGTATAGAATCCGGACTGTTCGGGGAGCCAATCAGAACCGACACCACTGTACATAGAGGGGTGGTGGGGGTTGCTTGTTGGGGGAAGGGTGGGATGAAAAAAAATATTGCACCAGGACCTTTTGTTCCTTAGGTCGGCCACTAGGTCAAAAATAGGGTATGCATTAAATCGGACAAGTTGTATTAAAAAATGTCATTAGAATATTCATGGAGGGGGCGGGGGGGGGGGACCAGGAAAGGAAAAAAATGAGCATATGAAACTTCAGCTTTAATTCATCTTATACTTCCCTTCAGCTGCAGTTGAACCCGTAAAATGTACATTACGTATTGAGAGTATTGCCACTTTTATATTGTTTGAAAACAAGGTGGCAGAAGTTTATAAATATAAATTGAGGAAGTTCTTGTTCTGTTTTTAGCAATGGAGGAGGTGTGATGCGCTGTGCGGTTAGTGCGTCACCACATAAGCTGTAACAGCTGCGTGTTAACAAAGATGCCACCACTATATCCTTTTGTTCCCTCCAGGTCCGAGGGGACCCATCGTTCACCATCGACTACGCCAGAGACTGCTTCCTGAAAGATGGAGCGTGCTTCCGTTACATTTCAGGGAGCTTCCACTATTTCCGAGTGCCGTCCGTCTACTGGAAGGACCGGCTGCTGAAGATGTACATGACCGGACTCGATGCCATCCAGGTGTAAGTGTATCCACTTTGTATTTCTCTTCCGACCACAGTGAGATTCATCCGTGTTCTTCACAATTCCTCTTTGTTATCTTCAGTTTCTTAGTAAGTCTGAGCTTGAAGCTCTCCATACATGTAACAATCTGACTGGACAATGTTTGTGTTATCTCTGCTGAGATTTACCAAAACTATGTAATAAGAGAACCTACCTAAACTATCCAATCAGTTTGTAACCAATCAGGTAGGCCCATGTATTAGAAAGTTATTGGTAAATCTAAAGGAGATTGTATGGTGAGATTTAACATATGTGTTGAACCTTAGGCCTTATACACCCGGGGCTTAATGTTATTCTAGTCTAGTCCATCTCCTGCCCAGCTTTCAGAAGCCCTCCCCACAGGTAAGCAGAAAGGGATCCAAGCTAGCGAGCAAACCAGAAGCAGCCAAAATGCCGCAGGCCATGTGGGTTTAAAGCAGAAGTAAGCCATCACAACAAGTTTAACTTTCTGGGCCTCCAGGAGGTTTTTTTTTGGCATAATGTACAAGTATGCACAGCTTATCATGGCACACTTACCCAGCAAAGCAATACCTTCCAGCCAGGGTTGTCCCTATAATGAGGCGGCCTGAGGGGCGGCCACGGCATCCCAGGCTGCTAAGTGCTCTTAGCAACTTGTGATGCTCTGTCTGGCATCCTGCCAAACTCCTGGCAACCACTGACAGCGTGGCTCTAACACAGCCACCCATCTCACTGCATCTGCACCATCTGCTGTAGGTATGCGTCATCATTCTATACCCATTAGGTTTTTATTAAGTGACAGAGTCACTTTAGGAGCTTGTGCATGAGGACAACGCTTTGCATTTCTTTACTACATTAGTTATTGTGAGCGCAAAAACAACTCGAAGCAACTTAACTGTAAGCCAGTAATGCTTGTGTGCACCATCCCTAATACACTTGTTAGACCCAGCATTTTGGATGGGCTCTCTGCCGGGTCATAAACACATCTTGCCCCATATGCCTCTGTATGCACAATCCACATAGAAGTGAACCTTTTACTGTTTCCGAACTAGCTATATATATATATATATATATATAATCTGGGAAATCTATAGGTAAGAGAGGATACTGTAGCATATGGTGTCAGTGGGTATGATTACCTTCATAAATTGTGAATTACCCTCCCAATGTGCACATCTCCAGCTAGTAATAAGATGACTACTGTTGTTATATGTTAGGGCAGTGGTTCTCAACCTGTGGGTCGTGGCCCAAAAGTGGGTCACAACTCACTGTTGAGGGGGTCGCAGCATCCACTTCTACTGCGCTAGATGAGAGGCTCCTCAGCCTCCTCCTAGCGCAGCAGAGGCTGTGAGCACACTCCCTGGCCGCTGCAGCGACATCTAGTGGCCGGGGAGGGTGTACTGCAGGGCTTTTCTATTCACAGCCGCTGCTGCCCTCCTGCCTCCCATATAGGGTTGCCACCTGTCCAGGATTCACCCGGACAGTCCGGATTTTGAATGCTGTGTCCGGGTTTCATGGCAGCTGAAACCCGGACACATGATGTCAGGCATACAGGGGCAACCAAAATTATATGGGGGTTCCTAGCCCCCCACTAAAAATTATCTCAACTGTGATATTTACATATGAATGGGTGACAATATTTACATATGAATAAGCAGTGACTCATTATCCCAAATGTGTTTTACGTGCGTTGCAAGAGTGTTCGGGTTTCGCTGGAAGAAAAGGTGGCAACCCTACTCCCATACAATGTGAGCTCTGCAGGAGGCGGGCATCTAAGCAGTGCTCGGGCTGAGAAGGCTGCATGGAGACAGAGCAGGTAGCAGGGGCTGTGGAAGGCTTGTATTATTGTGAGTGTGCTTCCATTTTTAGTCCCAAGTCCAGCACCTTACTAATTCTGGAGTCCAGCGCTCCGTTGGGGGGTCACCACAACTTGGCAAATGTTACCAAGGGGTCCCGGCCCTAGAATGGTTGAGAACCACTTTGTTAGGGTATTATCACTTACCTGGTGGGAGACCAGTAGGACGAGGAGGCTTCTCTTGCGTCTCGTGTCCTGCACCCCCTGGAAATTGGAACAGGGCGTGCGGAGGACAGCAAGGGAGCATGAGCGCCAGTGGATGGTCCGACACCATGCAGTAGAAGTTGAGGATAGTCAGACGAAGCCAAACTAGACGGGCAACGAAGTACAAAGTCGATAGGCAAGGCAGAGTCCAGTAATCAGGCTGAGGTCAGGAGGCAGGCAGCAAGCAAGAAGAGACAAAGCAATCCGGGTCAAAAACAAGCAGCAGGCAGTCAGACAGGGTCACGGGAAGCACACGCTGAAGACCATCAGCAACCTGGTTAGGGCAGGTTCGTTTATGTAGACCAGTCCATTAAAGTGACAGCATCACTTCCTGTGCGACTGACGTGTGCTTCCTTCCGCACACTTCCGTCTTTGCGCGCACTTCCTGTTGCGTGCATCTGCACACTAGTGCATGTTTCCCAGCAACACGAAACATAGGCCCACGCGCATGGGCGGGAGCCATCTTTACCTTACAGGTATAAAATGCTAGTAGATGATATAACCCTCCAACTTCTGCCCAGCACTGGAATTGCAGCTTTGGTGGACTGACGCTTTATTATGTGACCATCTCTTTCTAGATATGTGCCCTGGAATTTCCATGAGCCTCAGCCCAGGATGTTTAACTTTGATGGAGATCGTGATCTGGAACGGTTTCTTAACTTGACAGTGGAACTTGGCCTTCTAGTCATCCTGAGACCTGGCCCTTATATCTGTGCAGAGTGGGACATGGTAAGGAGGGGCCCATTGGGCATAGTGTAATTCTCAAAAGCTTATTAAAAACAGACCTGTACTAGACACTTAAAGAGGAATAATGTCTCTGTATGTAGGCAGCCATCTTGGTAGAGGCAGAGCTTTGCTTCCTCAAATCAGAGCCTTCAGCAAGGAGAACAGCAAGCAGCACAGTAGTGACATGACCAGGGCTGGATTTCCCACGAGGCCACCAAGGCCCGGCCTCAGGGAGTAGAGGGGCAGCAGGGGTGTGGAATTCCTATCGCCTGATGCCCAGGACATGCATTTCCGGGCACCAGGCAGGTAGTTTTTTCTCTCTACATTTTAGCCCTGCTTTGGACAAACAGAGCTAAGGGCTTGTTCACACCAAATGCAGACCAGATCTGCATGAGTTTCTGCACACGCAATGCAGTGTGTTTTGGTGCATTTTTTTAGTTTAAAAAAGGCTTTCAGTGCATTCCAGTGTGTTTACATGCGTTTTTTATGCGTTTGCATGCGTTCCAGAGCAGGAAAAATAGTGCTTGCTGCAGTTTTTTTTACATGCTCTGGAACTGAACGCTGCTGTGTGAACTAGAGTGCAAAATACCATTGGAATACATTGGACGCAGTTTTGATCCATGCTGTAACTGTTCTGCATCTGGAACGTGTTTGGTGTGAACTAACCCCCACTGTAGAGCGATGCCGCAGCCTTCCCATCAACTTTGACACTTTCTTGTCAAAAAAGGACAACTTGAACACAGTCTTACCTTGAAGTGTTACTCTATCAATGGATCTCTCTTTTTTTTTTTTTTTTCTCCCTTTTGGTCTGTTGTACCATTGAAAGCATTGTGTTGTATATGTTTTATAAGTGCAAACAAATAGTCCTGAATCCTAAGCACAATTCCTGTGTTATCTCAAGATGTTCTCCCAGTTCCTAACTTGCACTACAGAACAATTAGTCCCTAGATGAGGAGAATAGGAGGGATTCTGTAGTTACCAGGCAGTCGATCAAGGCTTTGTAATAGCCCCTTTGCACACTGTACCATTATACCCCTGAATCTGCCGGGTGCTGGAACAACTGGTGGATGCAGCCACAGCATACAATCTATAAGATATGTTTTCCGCACCTCATTCTGCTTCAGAATGTCATCTTTATTCATATTCCTTTTAGCATTCACATGTCATGCTAAAGAAATAGGAATAAAGATGACATTCTGAAGCAGAATGGTGTGCGGACAACATATCTTCTAACTTGATCAAGGCTGACACCAAGTCTTGCTATGTTAGTCCACAAAAAGCCACGTGGTGTCTTTCTAAATAGCTAAATAGATTAAATTCAAAGATGGGAGATGTATAACCTGCCAAAGGATTCGAACATCTGTTCATCCAGTTCTGCAACACCACTGATCCAACTATACTCCCATAAATGTCACCGTAACTGGACATAATACCACTTTTACATTTTGGGACCCAAACATTTGGGCATTAATTAGTCTTGAGTGTTGGGAGGAAGGTTGATAGTGATACTGTATAAAAGCTTACACAATATACTTGACGCTTTTGTCTGTAATAGGGGGGACTTCCAGCCTGGCTACTGAATAAGAAAGCCATAGCTTTGCGGACATCAGATCCACGTAAGTAGCTGCTGTACATGATCTATACTTCCATACATTCAAACAGATGTGAGAAATCCGAACTCTTTGTAGTCACTATGGACTCTAATTCCAGATTACTTGAACGCTGTGGACTCCTGGCTATCCGTCCTGCTCCCCAAGATCAAGCCACGCCTGTACTGCAATGGAGGAAACATCATCAGCGTCCAGGTGACATGACAACTGCCACTATGCCATCCCTAGCAGACTTTGTATAATGCTGTTTTCTAATACTTTTCTTTTAATGGTCTTGAAAAGAAAACGTGCAACAATAAATACGGTCGGCACTATTCTATATTAACTAGCTTGCTAATCAAAGAGAAAGCATCAAGTATGACAAAACATAAAATGTGGCTCTAAGTAGCATACGGTTCTAGAGACCCTGCACCATTTGACCATTCATTTTAGCAAAAATCTTCCCATGACATTATATGTGCATTTACCATTTTATGTATATTCTTCACCTGTAAAAGCCTCCCTTGTGTAGACCTCCCAAAGCACAGAGACTGCTGCTGGCATCTTACGTGATGTCAGCAGACTCGGAGCTCATTCAAATGACACTGTGTAGTATTCTCCTTCGTTTCTTCCCTGGCAGCTACACATAAGACTATATAGGGGTTGAAGGGATGGGTGGAGGAGCTAGGCCAGCGCAGACAAAAATTAGACACTCCCAGAAGGGGAGAGGGCTGTGACATGCAAGAAGGGAGGGGGTTGTGCTAGGAAATTGACAATCCTGAAGTAGTCGAACGTTTTAGCAAATTTAAAGGCATATTGCAAGTCAATAAAAAAATTATGTATGGAAAGGAATAACACTGCAGTAAACATTTCATTACTTGATTTCCTTTAGTTTTTTTGCATGTTTTAGTTGGTGACAGAGTCTCTTTAAAGTAGATCTATCAAAAAAATCTCGTAGAAGCTTTAACATGTTAATGCTATTTTAGAAGTCATTTTCATACTATTTAGATTTTCAGCATTTATTAAAAAAATCCCTGGTGATCCTGCCATGATGCTCCTAGTTCAGGCACTTCCTGTTAGTGGGGGACAACTGTCTCCCAGTTGTGCTCCGGTGTTATCACCCTGTCACATGCACCCCTGATGGAGACTACAAGCAGCCATGCCTACACCTATTGCACAGGCACGGCCACTGTTGTCACGATCAGTAAATCGGTCATCTCCAGAGCATGATTTGCAGCAGGCACTAGAGAGAGCGCATGTACACAGGAAGTGGCTAAAAGAGGCTGGAGCAGAGAAAATCATTTTTGGGGAATCAGAAGGGTGAATATAATTGTGACAACAGTCTTTTATGGAAAGGAAAATGGCAATGGTTTATTATACAGTGTCATCCATTTAGGGTTTACTACAAAAGATCGTCTGTTTCACTTACATCCTCTTAGTGCCCCAACCAGTACAGAAGAATAAACGCCACTGATATGCTGTTATCATGTTAATGTTGGCCTTGATGTTATCTCCTTATCTTACAGGTGGAAAATGAATATGGCAGCTTTCATGCTTGTGATTACAGCTACATGCGCCATCTGCTGAACATCTTCCGCATCTACCTGGGCGATGATGTAGTGCTGTTCACAACCGATGGCAATACAAACGTAGAGCTGAAGTGTGGGACTTTGCAAGGGCTTTTTGCCACTGTGGACTTTGGACCAGGTCAGTGCCAGAAAACACAGTGTTTGATAGTGTTGAGTTCATGTAGCTGCTGCGACCATTCATATTACAAGATGGTCAGGCCTTTTTAAAGAAGAACTCTACTTGGCTTACAATAAATTAGATCTGGTTGCCCCATTGGATCTGCTTTGTATGTATTTGGCGTGATTCAATAAGGTATTTCCGACACATTACCGGCATTACCATTTGGTATCACTCCGCCTGTGACAGGAGCCAGCGCTGTAGAGGAAGCATCGGCTTATGCGGCTAGGCTCCCTCCCGTGCCGCCTCGCTTCCTCCAGCGCTGGCTTCATTGGCACAGCTGATTCTCTCCCGCGGCTCTTAAAGTTCCCCCTTATGCCACCACCGGCCCTGGGAATGGTCACAACTAGGTCTTATTTTCGGGGTAGGTCTTATATTTTAGCAATTCCCAAAAATAGTACTAGGCATTATTTTCGGGGTAGGTCTTATTTTCGGGGAAACAGGGTATTTTATTCTGACAGCAGATGTCTGCATCAGCCTGGCTCCTTCAACAAAATTCGATTCAGTGATCGACTTTTGTTGAACTAGCTGATCCGTACAGTGTAATAATTTTGTCTGATTCCAGTGAATCGGCTAAAATTCCAACAGTATGGCCAACTTTATGCATATTATATGTTAGGATCAGTTACACATTTTGTCACAGTAGATACTGCCAGCTTCTACAGAAAGAGGTCACTGGGGAATTCCATCGGAATTTTGCAATGAAGCTCCATGATTCGTAATTATTGTTAGAGTGTAGTCCAGCGCTATGCAGAAAAGCTGCATCCATAAAATAATCTCCACCTATGTATATACAGTTATGTACCAACACCAGAGAGCTGAAACAAAAGTGAATTCCAACCTATTGCTTCCATTAAACCTTTGCTCTTGGTTTTCCATTATGGTGTGCCCTTCTGTATCTTTAGACATACATATAGCAAGCTTGTTTTCTTCCTCATCAGGATAGAAGACTCTTAAGAATATGCAAAAGTGTATGCAGTGTCCACACTGAGCCTGACACAAATAAATATAATGGAAAATATCAGCAGGTTCTCTCACGGTTATTTTTTTTATCTCCCTTTATGCCAGGCTTAGTGAGGACAGAGAAACTTATTTTCTGCAGCACAGTTTATACCGTCGTACCCCCTCATCTTCTATTCCTTCACTGTTTTTCTTTATAAGACATGATGAGAAACAGATCTGAAGAGGACTTGCGTGAACAAACCCATTCTGTAATAGGGGCCAGAATATGGATGTTTGATAAGGGGAAGTTTACTGTACAGAGACTGACACAGGTCATGACTGATATGACTCTTTGCTAAAGGAATAGTGTAGACTGCAAAATGCGGAAGAAAAGATTGTTAATTGAATGTGTCTGTAATGTTTCTTAATTTCAAATATATTTTTATTGTCTGTTTCAGTGGACAATGCTACAAAGGCCTTTGAATTATTGAGAAGAGTGCAGCCCAGAGGACCTCTGGTAATTTGGTTTCAAATAATACAACTGACATATAGAGATAATGCTGTAGAACATCCCCATTGTAGTAGGGTTACCTCCACACTGCAAGGATTAACTTCTCATTTATGTCTAGGCGTATTTTAACTTACCTGAACAGCGCCCTGAACCCCCCCAAAGGCAGTCAGCACTTGCCTCTCTCCCTTCTGCTCTGGCTCATGGCTTTGGGTCCTGCATTATAGATGATGTTAACAGACCTCCAGCCACGGAAGCAGAAGGGAGAAAAGGCTGCGGTCACCAGTCTTGGAGCCAGCAGAAGTGCAGATCAGGAAAGCAAATGTCCTTTATAATGGTCCCCTAGACAAACACGAGCAGTTACCCCTTGCCGTGCAGTGGTATCCCCCCTGGCAAGGGTAGTGTTTTTTTTGGGGGGTGGGGGTGGGGGGGTTAAACTGGAGATAGGCTTTAAGGAAACTGTATATTGTGAGTCACGATACCAAACATACTGCAAAAAAGATTTAGGGCTCATGTACTCAGAAATGAAAACTAATAAGCAGTTATAGGTAACACAGTGGGTTCTGATAATCTCATGTTCTTGGGGCAGCATTCTATTTTCTAAATAATTTATGTAAGTACTACACTGCAGGTTGGATAGCATTCTGCCCATTGTCAACAGCTCCTTCTCTATCTGACGACTAGGCACTGTGGCTTGACATTGACCTGAATGTTGCACATAACGTTTGGCATCTTCACCACACTCCACTGCCCCCCATCTGCACATGTGTTCTGAGCCAAATGGCTTTATAATGTATGGCCATCATTAAGGAAAGCCAAACAGAATAAGAAATTGAATTAGAAAAATATATAATGTATACCAAATGCTGCTGTCTTCTAAATTGCCCTTGCCTCCCCAGGTGTAAGGAAGAAAGCAGGGAGTGTGTGGTACACATTTTATGAGACTACATTATCTTGCAAGGGGGATGGATGCTATGTTGAAAAAGCTAATGGAATGCATGTGTGTGAGGAGGCTTGTGACATACTCCTCTGTGCTATTCTGTTTCAGGTAAATTCTGAATATTACACAGGCTGGTTGGATTACTGGGGGGAGAAACACGCTAGCAGCCCAGCTGAACAAGTGAGCCGAGGTCTACAGGACATACTGAACACCGGAGCCAGTGTCAATATGTGAGCTCTAAATTGGTTTGCATTTTAGACTATATGGGCACCTGTTAATAGCATGACTGGGTGGGCGGACTATGCTGACTTTTGGCATAACCTGGTTTCTTATACTCCCTATGCAGGTATATGTTTGAAGGAGGCACCAACTTCGGCTACTGGAACGGTAAGATGTGTCTTTATTTAAAATGTAAGCTCTGATCGTATCATTGGGATAGAAAGTGAGGAAATAGCAATACAAATATACTGGGGGTTCAAACCCTTACCTACTCTATCCACAATTACAAAAACATTGTCCGGAGGTCCACTGTACAAAGCAGCAGGCCTTCAAACTAGCCAGAAGTACTCATAGATTTGTCTGAGAATCTCTGTAGATTCTCAATGCTGGAATTGCTGAGAGACTCCTTTTTAAATTTGTGCAAATTGTAACCTTGTTTTTACTCATAGGAGCCGATTTCAAGAACATATATAAGCCAATTACAACAAGCTACGATTATGACGCACCTCTGACAGAGGCGGGAGACCCCACAGACAAGTTACTGGCAATCCGCTCAGTGATTAGCAAGGTGAATCTCTCTCTGCACCAATAAACCATGACCTATACAAATGTGTCACATCTGCTGGCAACCAACCAATGTCAAAGCTGATTTCTGATTGCCCATTATGGGTTATTGAAAATATTCAACTTGCACCATGTTTATAAACATTGCTTTCAATGTACAGTGGTTCACAAACTTAATTCATTCCACGATTCTGGTCGTGCACCGAATTGGTCGCAAACCGAATCAAATTTCCCCATAGGGTTCAATGTAAATAAGGTTAATCTATTCTGCACATTCTTGTCACCTTCATTACCACTTTGCATTTTCTTTTTACCACCATGCTTGCTCTGCACTTTCTTTTTACCACCATGCTTGCTCTGCACTTTCTTTTTACCACCATACTTGCTCTGCACTTTCTTTTTACCACCATGCTTGCTCTGCACGTTCTTTTTACCGCCATGCTTGCTCTGCACGTTCTTTTTACCGCCATGCTTGCTCTGCACGTTCTTTTTACCACCATGCTTGCTCTGCACGTTTTTTTTACCACCATACTTGCTCTGCACTTTCTTTTTACCTCCATGCTTGCTCTGCACTTTCTTTTTACCACCATGCTTGCTCTGCACGTTCTTTTTACCACCATGCTTGCTCTGCACGTTCTTTTTACCACCATGCTTGCTCTGCACTTTCTTTGGAGCCGTGCTGGATTGAATAATACTGTACAGTACTGTATGTGCTAGAAAGCACACAAAAAAGCTGCACAGCAAGTGTGCACAGGTCTGTCTACGACCGCGATCTCGACTTGAGGAAGCCACGACCACGCGTCAGAGCGGGGAAGATGGCCGCGGTCGTGTTCGTCACCCGATGTGGAGTTTGCGAGTGGAAGCAAAATTTTGCCGAACTTCCTGTTCATGAACCGAATTGTTCGCGAACAGAAGCGTTCGTGAAATGAAGTATTACTGTAGATGGACTTGAAAAAGCTTATTTAGATAGTATGTGCCATACCAGTGTTTCATATCTACTGGTGGCTTGCCATTGACCAAGTACATCATTGAGTGGTTGGACACACAAGCAGAATCATCTCATGATCTCTTCTTGTTAAAGCTGAAGTTTAATCTGCTTATATTTTGCCTTCCCTGGTTCCTCCTCCCCCCTCCATCAACATGCTAATAAAATAATTAAACAAAAAAACCTTTCTGTTTTCATGCCGTATTTTAAACCCATTGATATCACTAGGTCTCTGTGCTTCCCATTGCAATGCAGGCAGATCGTAGCTGTTGGGTGGGGCCAGCAGGGTGCTTTAATAGCTTCTCAGTAAGCAGCTGCACAATGAAAGTGTCACAGTACCCTGCAAACAGTGGGTTGGCTCTTGGGAGGAGTTATGCAAATATCAAAATGCCTTAAAGAACTATGAGGTGAGTGATTTCCACTCATCCTCATAGTTAGAGCCGACCTGCGACAAAGAGATAGGCAGAGCCCGCTGTCACTCATGCAGTTGGGTGGATCTCTACAGTAATTTCGGGATCCTTCCCGGCTGTGGCGCTCACAGTATATCGCGGGCAATAGCCCCCTATATACTGAGCTTTTGGTCACAGGAGGAGGTTAGTATATGTCCTCCCGTGACCCTAAGAGCACTATGGGGAAAAAACACTTACCCCATAGTTCTCTTTTAATGGGTGGATGTCAGTCTAGAGGAGTGTATTTGCATACAGACAGCCTTAGGTAATGCCCACATGTGATGCTGAGCCTCTGTGGTTGAAAGAACTGAGAAGCAATACTTGAAAGGGACAGACCAGGGACAGTAAGGTTGAGAAAGAAAGTGCTAGATGATGGTGGACGTCCTCCAGCCAGGAAATGAGGCGGGCTCTGTTGGACTTCCGCAGCTTCTTAGCGCAATGCTGAATGTTATCAGCCTCAGTACAAGGGATAGATGCTCTTTCAAAGGGAACCTGTCATAAGAGAAATAAATAGGCCACCACTGCTGACCTTCTTTTAAAAATGCCTTCTGGTGTTCTGACCAAATGCTTTTTATTAAGCCTTTGACCCATAATTGGTATACGAACTTTACTTGCTTCATACTTATTCTTTGTTATTAATAGAGTGTTCTAGTCGCATGATTAACAATACTAGCATTGGAAGTTCAGCAAAATCAGTAATGGCAGATTTCTTTTAAAGTAGAACTCCAGCCAAAAATGTTCTTTCTGGTTTTGGATAGGGCAGGGAAGGGTTAGTTTTTTGCTTGCTTGTTGCCTGTTGGGGACAATGTGGAGACATAGGCCAAAAAAGTTAGCGGTTTTAACTCTTCCTTATTGCAGCCCAGAAACACATTTTTTGTTCTAGTTCTACTAAGCTAGATAGATATATAATTACTAGGGATGCATACTCGTTTTATGTTTTGGAGTATTTGCTCGAGCACGAGTACTCATGCAAATACTCGGTATCGCGGCCGATAGCGATGCTTGTTTCGGTATCGGTGCATCCCTAATAATTACCATTGACTAGATTTCCTAATGTTATATCATTCTAATATTTTACAGTTCAAGTCAGTTCCAGAAGGACCCTTTCCACCCCCCACTCCAAAATATTACTACGGTTTAGTCTCTCTGAATAAGGTAAGTGTCTGATAATAAAAAAAAAAAAAAAATGCTTATGTTGTTTTTACATTGCAGTTCTCACTGGTTGCTTTTTTAATTACACAGGTTGGTGCTCTCGTGGATCTTTTAGACATTTTCTCAGAGGGTGACCCCTATGGAACCCAGTACCCCATTACCTTTGAGGATTTGAAACAGGTAAG